CAGCCATGGCTGCCTTCCCCCCAGAAATGTTATTTTTTTCTCCTAAAGTTGGGGGAACTTCCCGGTGTCTTGATTTAGTGTATTCTCTCCCTGGCTTCCATTATTTTCATTTAGTCAGTAAATCACTCAGGCTTACAGTGCTCCAGGGCTGTGCTAGTTTCAGGGAAGAAATAATTATAGTAACTGTAATAGTATGCATTAACTAAGTGCTTATTATATACCAGTTATGCCGAGGTGTTATAACCGGAATTCACCTGCCCCTCCCTCTGTACTCTTCCCATCCCAAATCTTTGCATGGCTGATTTATTTTCATGCAGGCCTTGGAGACCATCCTCGACAATCTGATTAATGCTGCCCCTCCCACACCTGCCACCTGTGTTCGGTCCCAGAGAACTTATGTTCTGGTTCATAAATAGTTGGTCTTATTTTCTTCATTGCCCTTTTTGTATTCAGAAATCACCTTATTTGTAGATCTGTTTACCCACCAGAAAGCAAGCCCTGTAAGGACAAGTACCTTGTCCATCTTATTTTCTTCAGTGTCCTCAGTGTTTGTTATAACATCTGAAATAAAAACAAATGGGTGCCTGTCTTCCTAGGTTAGTGCTAGGATGAATGAATACCAGCAATGATAGCAGTTGGCTGAGGATTTTCAGTGTGCCCCGTACTAGGCATGAGCTTTATTCAAGTAGGTATCCATGTGTATGTTTGTGAGAGAGAAAGACTGAATTCTTCCAACTCTGCGAGTAAGAAGTACTGTCTCCACATTAGAAAGAACAGACTTCTTCAGAGATTTGTCTCTCTTCTAGTGTTCTCACAGGTACAAAGTGGCTGAGCCAGAACGTACCCCCAGGCCGTTTGACCACTCCAGTATTGAGAGTCAAGACCTGCAGCTTCCCAACCCTGCCTCTCGTCTGGCTGTCTGGATTGAAACACATAATTTACCTGTTTTCCTTAAACTTCAACTCCAGACTCCTATTTGATTTCTCCTTTTCATCCGCACATGTAATCATTCATCTAGTCCTGTTATTTCTACCTTGCCAGTGTCTCCTTAACTCCCATTACCCCTTTATCCCACTGGCCTGTGTCACCAGTGATATTAGTCATCTTTCCCTCCACATTGTGAGCTCCATATGGTAAAAGAGTATATCTTTCGTTAAACCTAAGCGCCTGACACATAGTAGAATTTCAGTGAATGTGTGTGCTGTCTTCCCAGCTAGAATGTCAGCTCCTCGAGCGCAGTCCTTGCCTGCCCTGATCACCACTATGTCCCAACAGGCCCAGCGTGGTCCTTAGCATGTAACTGACTAAGAGAACACATGGCAGAACAAAACCCTTCTGCTCTGGAGCTGGTATCAAAGAACCCAGGATCCCAGGATCAGCAGCCTGAGTTCACTTCGGTCCCAGTTTCCGTTTAAGTATGTATTGGGTGCCTACATTGTGCCCAGAGCAGACTAAAATCCCAGCCCTCATAGAGCTCCTATTCTCGTGGGTACAGAACGATAGTAAACAAGACAAACAGATGGTAGGTTAGGTGATAAGTGGAAAAATGAAGCAGGGAAGATGCTTTGGGAGGGCTGGCAGAGGGACTTGGAATCATAAGTAGGATAATCAGGGATGATTTCAGTAAAAAGGTGGTGATTTCACTGGAAAGGTGGTGAGTAGGGACCCAAAGGAAGTGAGAGGCCCGTGACACGGGGGAAGGGGAACGGCAGTGAAGGCCCCAAGTTGGGGGCATGACTGACTGGTCTATGTGAAGAACAGAAAGGAGGCCAGAGAGGCTGAGCAGAATGAGAAAGAAGAAGGATAAATGGGAAATTGGGTATTGGGAGGTCAGATAGTGTAGGGTCTTTTGGATATTGAAAGGACTCTAGTGAAGGTTTTGAGCGAGGTGAAGTTCTTGGCCAGAGGAGTGACATGCCTTTACTTGTGTATTTAAAAGATCATTCTGGCTGGGGCGCCTGGGTGGCGCAGTCAATTAAGCGTCCGACTCTTGATTTCAGCTCAGGTCATAATCTCAGGGTCATGTGGGCCCTGCATCAGATTCTGCACTCAGCAGGGAGCCTGCTTGAGATTCTCTCTCTCCCTCTGTCCCTCCTCCTGTGCGCATGTGCTGCCTTGTGCGCACACTCTCTTAAATAAATAAATAAATCTTCAAAAAAAAGAAAAGATCATCTCGGCTGCTGTGTAGGAAGTAGATTGTAGGGGGACAGGAATAGAAACAGAGAGACCAGTTAGGAGTCAATCGCAGTGGTTAAGGCAAGAGATGACGGTGGTTTGGACTGTAATAATGAGAGAATTGGTCAGATGCTGGCGATCATTTGAAGGTTTTTGCTGATGGTTGGATGTGGTGTATGAAAAAGAGAAGAAAAAAATCAAAGATCATTTCAAAATATGTGGCCGGCTTATTTGAAAAGACAAATCTGGTGTTTGGTTTTGGGCGAGTTAAGTTTGAGACATCTTTTAGACAGCCAAGTGGACATGTCAAGTTGGCCTTGAGTCATTGGCATATGGACGCTTTCTGATGTCCCAAGGCTGGATGTGTTCACTGAGGAAGTGAATGAGTAGAGATAGAGAAGAACTTCATGCACTAAAGCTTGAGGCAGTCCTGACTTTTGGAGGTCGGGGATATGAGGAGGAACCACAGGAAATTCTGTGTAAACTAGAAACCCCTGGAGGAAGCTCGACTGTGTTAGTACCTGCTCCTGTAAGCCGTGGGCCCGGAGAAGCTGTATCAGCATCACCTGGGAACTTGTTAGAAACAGAATCTTGCGCTCCACTGCAGAGCTACTGAATCAGAATCTTTGGAGGTGGGCTCCAGCAGTCTGTTTCAACAGTCTCTCGTGGTGACTTTTGAGCAGACTAAGGTTTCTGGAGCACAATCCTGGAGGGTCCTGAGGAGTTGAATTTCAATGGCATTGGTCTGGAGGACCCTGTTACAGGTCTTTGTCCTCCCAGTAGGAGGTTAGTAGGTGGCCCAGTCTTGCACACTTGCTTCAGGAGTGCAGAGGGCAGTCCCTCATGCAGGGCAGTGTACAAATCGTGGGAGACAGGGAGGCACTTGCCGGAGCGGGCTGTGCAGAGGTCTGGGACCGACGGTTATGGGGCAAAGTGGAAACGTGAGCTCCTAAAGCCGTCCACTGTGGGAGTACCTTGGAGTGGGCCCCCCAAGGGTGCGTATCTGTTTGTCTGAACCTGCCCTCTGGCTTGGGTCTCAGGAGAAAGCAGATCAGGCAAAGAGAGGAAAGGAGGGAACTCACGGTCCGTGTGTTTGCACTACGTACTGACTGGTTCCGAGCTGGTTCCGAGAGTTCTGGTCATCTCTCGGCTTCACATCCCACTGATGGCATTTGTTAAACGTGTCCAATGTGCCGGGCCCCTGCAAAATGGAGAACACGAATAAAGGAAGAAGGCCCCGTTCCCTTGATGATTTGTGGAGCTCTCTCTCTCTCTTTTTTAAAGATTTGTTTATTTCAGAGGGAGAGAGAGAGAGAGAGAGAGAGAGCACGAGAGAGGGGAGGGGCAGAGGGAGAGACTCCTGAAGCAGACTCCCCATTTAGTGCAACACGGGGCTTGATCCCAGGACCCTGAGATCATGACCTGAGCCAAAATCAAGAGTCAGCTGCTTAACCAACTGAGCCCCCAGGCGCCCTGATGATTTAGAGATCTTAACGGGGCACTGTGTTAAAGGTGGCAAGCCAGCAACTTAAAGTGGTTCTGGGTCCCAGCGTGACTAATTCAATCTGGGGGCAGCAGGAGAAGGTCTCACTTAGAAAAGGAGCTCTTGAACTCCAGTCCATGGGCATAATGCAGGGGGTTCATGAGCTTGAGTGGGAAAAAAATCCGTACTAGTTGAACTGAAAATTAGCATTTCCTGTAATTATGAATGCAGGTGACAAACCACAGTAGTATCAGAACCTGTGAATCTGTTATCCATGTAAATCATAGATATTTTTATATTATAGTTGGTGCGGGTGTTTCAGAATATTACTTATGCTCACTACTATTTTGAAAATACAGTAGTTAATTAATTCCTGATATTTAATGTGTAAAAAGAAGCACATCCCTGGCATTTTATTATTTTTGAACGTTGTATTCTAGTATAATTAGGCTCTAAAGTAATCCTGTGTGTTTTATTTTATGCATTTACAACATTATTCTAAGTTAAGAGTCCGTAAGTATCAACAGACTGCCAAATCAGGCCATAGAACAGAAAAGATCACAAACTGATTTAGAAGACCTTTGCTAACCTGAATCTTGATTTATAGAATCCTTGAGGACAGGGATTTTTTTTTTAAGTTTATTATTTTTATTTTTTTGTAATCTCTACACCCAACGTGGGGCTCGAACTCATGACCCTGAGATCGAGAGTAGCACACTCTTCCAACAGAGCCAGCCAGGCGCCCTGAAGACAGGGATTTTTCATCGTTTTTATTTCTGCAATGCTCACAGTATCGCATGAGTAAAGCATTCACACTCCAGATTCTCCTTCACAAAGCACAGGTCTTTCATCTGTGGCATCTGCACCCTTCTGTAGGGCCCTGTGTCTCACTGCAACACTTCTGCTGCTAGGCCCTCCTGCAGAAACTTCTCGGACTGTCTTCAGCCATCTGCAGCGCTCTTGGCCCTGTGGACCATGAGTCTCTCCGGAGCAGGGACTATGCATATAGCGACTCAGTAAGCGTCCACCAAGCAAATGGTCTCTAGAGGGTGTGCACCATACTAGAGACCCAGAGCTTTGGGGGCCAGAAGAAAGGACTGGATAAAGTTGAGTTCCCCTCTTGAGCCCACAGGTCCCAGGAACATGGGAACCAACCAGGCTGTGGAGCGTGAAGGTGGAGGCAGGTCCTCCCTTCTGAGCCCAGGGAGCCAACCGATGCTCCTTGTCAGAACTTGGAGATCCTTAAGAATGAAGAAGGCCCGGATCTTCTGCTTCTCCGGATTAGGAAGACCAGAAGAGAAATAAAATTGCTTCCACTCTGGGAAACTTAGGAGAGGCGATCATGGAGACTTGGACCTCAAGGCCTGGGGAGAGAGGTGAGAGTTCAGGAAGGGTGTGCGGCGGGGGAGGATCAGAGTCGGGCGTGGAGAGAGGACAGGTGAGGTGGAGGAGAAGAATCCAGTGTGTGAAGCAGCAGACCTTGCTGGGGTCCCAGTAGATGGTCCGTGAGCCCAGGCGGGAGCCCCCTCGTCTTATGGCTTCCTTCTCCTGCAGCTGTCTGCTCTCAAGCCTCAGCCCTTTCTCAGGATGGGGAGGACAAGACCGAGTTTCAGGTGGGTTGAGATCTCTTTTCACTCCAGAAATAACACGCCAGGCATCAGAGCATAAAAATATCCCCCTCCCTTGGTAAAAGGGAACAGAGAAAACCATGTATTGGGCGAGTAATGACATTGCTCATTGCATTTATCCACAAAGTAGCATGTGAGAGAGATGATAGGACCTGGGGTTAGAAAGGAAGAAACGAGCAGGGAATTCTGGATTTGAACCTGGGTCTGTATGGCTGTAATTTGCCATTTTTCTCTACATGCTTCTGCCAATAAATAATCATTTCATCTAAGGGCCCGAGCCTAAATTATGCAGAGAGGTTACTCTCCAGATAATGAATCCTTCTTCCCTGAGTTTTTCTCCTCTAGGGGACCTTTCTGTGATTCATTTACAGATGTTATAGTCTCCAGATTATACGCCCTACCAAAAAGTACCCCATGAACAATGTTAAAACAGAGCATAATCAGGGAAAAGACATTTCATCTATGACAAAATTATAAAGTATAATATCTTTATTTTTGGAAGAGGGGTTCAAATGCCCAAACGTTCTTGTTCAGAAAGAAGAAACACAAATGGCCAATAATTATATGAAAAGACTATCAACCTCTATTAGTCAAAGCAGTACAGATTCAAACAAGGTAGGATTCTTTTCTTTTTTTTTTTAGCAGATGACCAAAGATTTGAAAGATCAGCATTCACTGTGAGCCCAACGGAGAAACAGGTACTTGCACACAATTGCAAGGGGCATTTTTAGCCTTTCTGCAAGTTCCGCATGTGTCTGCTCCAATATTCCCCACTCTACAGGTTCATTCTAAATCAGAGCAAGTGTCTGCAGAATGATCATTGCAGTGTTGCTCATAAGAGCAAAGAAAGAAAAAAAATACCGGGGAGTGGACTCTGTGTCCATCCATTGGATTGATGGATTATTATGGTTTCACTTGTTCTCTTGTTTAGATTTTGTGCTGCTGTCCAGTGAGATAAAGTGGATGAAGCTATTAGGATGTAGAAAGATGTGCACACGCTTGTGCTCTCTCTCTCTCTCTCTCTCTCACACACACACGGTAGATACATGCATACGTGTTAACTTTTAAGTCGAAAGAAGAAGAAATCAAAGCAATTGTAAAATTTTTTTTTTTAAGATTTTATTATTTGAGAGAGAGAATGAGATAGAGAGAGCATGAGGGGGGGAGGGTCCGAGGGAGAAGCAGACTCCCCGCTGAGCAGGGAGCCCGATGCGGGACTCGATCCCGGGACTCTGGGATCATGACCTGAGCCGAAGGCAGTCGCTTAACCAACTGAGCCACCCAGGCGCCCACAATTGTAAAATTTTAAGTACATATTTTTTTCAGCACGTGTGAGATTATTTTATAAAGCTTTCTTTTTTTTATGGAAAGACAGAAAAATTTGGAAACTTTGAGTCATTTTTATAATATGCTTTAATTTTAAATGTTATTGATGAACTTCCTACTCTGAGGGCTGAAGAAATGAACACTTCTTTACTTCCCACCATCTCCCGATATGATGCTGTTTTTACTATCATTACCTTCGGATTTGTCACCACCGATTCCCACAGTGGACTTGTCTCAGTTCTGTGTCTAGAGGTCATTGTCCACCACGTGTCCTTTTTACCGGTTTCTTCATTCCTGCCTTCATTTTGATTTATCTGTGGTTGCCTTAACGTGACTCCACAATTTGCTCTTCCCGGAGACTTGTGGAGGCTGTACGCACTGAGCATTCCCATGCTGAAAAATGTCTGTTCCCTTTATGCCCAAATGGCAGATTGCCGAAGCAGAAAATTCTTCCTTCCTCCCTTGAGAACTGGCATTCAGTCTCGGGCTGGTCTTTTTCTCATGGCGTCTCCATTCGTCTTCTGGTGAACAGAGTTTATTCTGACTTATTAGTTACTTTAGTATTTTCCCCCCCCGGAAAGGTCTGTTGACAGCAGCTTGGCTGAGCGTCATGTGCAAGGGTCACCCCTTAACTGCCCTTGCTCTGCGATCTGACATTAATTCTTTTCCTGCCTGGATGTCTACTGTTACTATTCTTTTATTCATTTGGACCTCCTGGAATTCCTGTTATGAAAGGTGTAACTTCTGGATCTGTCCTCCCTATCCTTTACCTTTTATTCTCTTTGGAATTTTCCATCATATTCCAGGAGGCTGCTGTGTGCTCCATTCACTGGCTTCTGCTTCAGTGATGTTCCTTCTTCTGGTTAGCGCATCTCTTGAGGTTATATTTTCCCGTAATGATAGCAGTGATTTTTTTTTTTTTACACTTCTGAGAATTCCTTTTTTTTTTTTTTAAGATTTTTATTTCTTTATTTGACACACACACAGAGAGAGAGAGCACAAGTAGGCAGAGCGGCAGGCAGAAGGAGAGGGAGAAACAGGCTCTCTGCTGAGCAGGGAGCCCGATGCGGGGCTCGATCCCAGGACCCTGAGATCATGACCCGAGCCAAAGGCAGATGCTTAACCGACTGAGCCACCCAGGCGCCCCTACACTTCTGAGAATTCTGATTAAATTTTTTTTTGGCAAGATTTTCCCCCAAGGCTTTCTCAGTACATTTTTGCTAATCTGATGGAGCTGGGTGTGTGGCTAAGACCTCTCATGTGTTTCGCAGTTCGTCACACGGTGGGTGTGTGATGATCATCTTCATATGTTTGCTGCAGTTGTGTTTTCTCATCTGAGAATTGCTTATGAAAGGCTTTCGCCCATTTGCATCAATTAATGAAAGGAGCTCTTTCAAGAGTCGGGTTGTTAACTCACCCATCAAAAGTGGTGACAGTTAACTTTCAACCTTGACTTTGTGAATGGTGAATGTGAATAAAGAAGTGTAACATTTTCACCTAGTTAAATGATTTGTTAGTTCCCTTTTGAAAATCTGGTTCCATATCTAACCTTATCCGTTCTAAGCTTAATCACAAAAGGCACGTAAATGGGTTTTTATTTAGATTAAGAACGTTTTAATCTCTAATATGGCTATAACTTGTTTTTGTAAGAGGTGTAAGGTTGACAATTTCATTTTCTTCAAGATGGATAGCCAATCATTATGGTGCCATTTATTATATTTGTCATTCATTTGCAAGTCAACTAAAGTACTACTTTTTTAAGATTTTATTTATTTATTTGACAGAGAGACACACAGCGAGAGAGGGAACACAAGCAGGGGGAGTGGGAGAGGGAGAAGCAGGCTTCCCGCTGAGCAGGGAGCCCGACGCAGGGCTCGATCCCAGGACCCTGGGATCATGACCTGAGCCGAAGGCAGACGCTTAACAACTGAGCCACCCAGGTGCCCCTAAAGTACTACTTTTATCATTTATATATTTTGTATATATTTATACATGTACATGTATATATATTTAATAGGTATATATATATATATACATATATATACCTATGTATTGACTTAGCTTTCCTCTAATGGGACTGTTCCTGCATCCTGGTCCACTGAGTTACTTGTATGTCTCTGTATTGTTTTACTGTTTATATTGAATATGTACTTTTGAAGTTCAGAAGTTATTATTCCTCCTTTCCCTATTCATTCAGCAAATAGCTGTTGGACACCTACTATGGGCCAAACATTATTCTAAGCCCTGGTGATATATCAGAGAGCAAAACAGATAAAACACCCCTGCTTTCATGGGGCTGGCATTCTAGAAGGGGGAGACAGGTTAAAAGCAAGATCATTGCTCTCATTGTCTTGAGGGGCGTAGGCCGGGTGAATTGAGAGAAGGTTCCTGCAGTCATCCAAGCAAAGGATGATGACGAGTCGGATTAGAGAGGCGGAAGTTATGATGGGGAGAAACGGAGAGATTTAAAGTCTACTTTGGAATAATAATTGGCAGAATTTTTTTTTTTTTTTTAATGAATTAGATGTAGGAAATAAGGAAAAGGAAAGAATCAAGGATGCCTTGAAGGTCGATGGTACTTGTGTTTACCCACGTTGGGGAGGTTAGAAGAGAACTATTTGGGGGGAAGGACTCACTTCTGATTGGGCTGTTTCTGCTTCATGATATCATTAGACACCCAGATGGTGGTTGGAGTCGGCAGGGCTCAGTGTAGACGGCAGGGCTGGATTTAAAGATTCGGGAGATAGTGGCAGGTCTACATAGGTTTAATTAATTGTCAGACTGCCTCTGGCCCAAGCTTTCTCCCCACCGTTACACTGCCTCTAGTCTTGGGATTGATCTAGGATTGTGCTTGGAAGTGTGCTTTCTTGGTGGCACTCCTTTTCCAAAATGGGGAGGTGGGTTCCTCTGGCCTGGCCCCGATGATCTCATTGGGGCAGCAGGATAGTAGAGTGGTTTCCGCATGGTTAGCCAGGCTGCCGGAGTTCAATCCTGACTCACCTCTTGTTAGGTGTATGATCTTCGACAAATAATATTCCCTTTCTGAGACCCCAGGTTTCTCATCAGTGAAGCGGAGATAGCCCTAGTCACTGCCTTGTGAGTAGTTACTGATAATAGAACCGATGAGAGAACATTCCCGACACTCCAGAAAGTTCTCATTTTCCATGAGTTCTGTGAGGATTAAGTGAGATCAATCATATAAAAATACTTAGGCTAGAGGGACGCCTGGGTAGCCCAGTGGGTTAAGCATCTGCCTTCAGCTCAGGTCATGATCCCAGCGTCCTGGGATGGAGCACTGCGTCGGGCTCCCTGCTCGGGGGGAGTCTGCTTCTCCCTCTGCGTCTGCTCCCCCTGTTCGTGCTCTGACAAGTAAATAAATCTTTAAAAAATACTAAGGCTAGAGCCTGCCTTACAGTAGTTTTTCTGTAAATATAAGGTATTAATATCATCTACTTTATAGACTCATTTCTGGTCCCCTGGTGACTCACATCTTGGCCTTTATAGGACAGTTGTTAAGGTTTAGTGGCTCTGGAACTAGACTCTGTGTGTTCAGCCTGAACTAGACCTCTGTCTTTAACTGGCTGTGAGACCATGGCCAGGTTACTTCACCTCCTGGTTCAGGGGTCCCTGAGACCACCCCCACGTTCAGAGATTTGCCAGACCCAAGGGGCTCAGTGTGTAGTTGTATTCATGGCTATGATTTGTTAGAGCAGTACACCTGTTTGCACCTGGCTTCCTCTAGACTTCACCCCACAGGGCTTTTCCCTTTGCTGATTTTGCTTTGTTTTTTTAACCACACTAAGTCTTAGCTGGTGTAGATGTTGCAGAATTTTACTTACGCTCATTACTAATTTGAAATTACAGTAGTTAATTCATTCTTGATATTTAATGTGTACAAAGAAGCACATCCTTTGTGTTTTATTATTTTTGAACATTGTATTCCCATATAATTAGCCTTTAAAACAATCCTTTGTTTTATTTTATGCATTTACAACATTATTCTGAGTAAGAGTCCGTGTCACCAGACTGCCAAAGGAGGCCATGGAACAGAAAAGATCACAAACTGTGATTTAGAAGACCATTGCTAACCTGTGTCTTGATTTACAGAATCCTTGAGGACAGGGATTTTTTTTTAAGTTTATTATTATTATTATTTTTTGGTAATCTCTACACCCAACATGGGGCTTGAACTCATGACCCTGAGATCAAGAGTAGCATGCTCTTCTGACTGAGCCAGCCAGGCTCCCCGAGGACAGGGGTTTATAATCATTTTGATTTCTGCAGTGCTCACAGTATTGCATTAGTAAAGCATTCACACTCCAGTTCTCCTTCACAAAAAACCTTGGGCCTCAGCTCATAACTGAGGAGGACACAGCATGATTTGAAGGGCCTCATCTGGTTGTGGATACGGTTGCATAAACACCCACTGGTTGCTTCTGTTGAGCGAGGACATGGAGGCCCATAAAAGGCGTGTGTGTGGAGGGGGTGGGGGGCTAGGGCAGCAAAGAGCAGGATTTGCCCAACTGCTGATGGAGGGGCAAGGGGCTGGTTGGTGAAGAACAGTCATTCTGGCGGAGAAGGTGGTTTTGGGGTGTGTGCAGACATGCGCACTCTAACATTACACACTGTTGGCACAGTCGCTGTGGAGGAAAAGTTTAGGTATTTTACAAGTCAGAGTCAAATTGTAAAATGAACAGACTGTATGACTGAAGCATTGTAATTCTATGGAACTGCCTTCAGAAGTGCTTACTTACACTGAGCCAACAGTAGTTAGCGTTCCTTGCTTTGCTCTTTGGTTAACCATGGAAAATCCGTTGCTTAGAATCGACATTATTGGCATTAGACATTAACAAAACTTGGTTTGACCTGCCAGATGGAGCAACTTCCTGCTTGCTTGCCTACTCTTCTTAGTGACTCAAATTTTACCTTTCATCTGGCGGGTGTTTGTGTTAATGGTGTTTCACGTTTTAGGAGCCATTGACCTTCAGGGACGTGGCGGTGGTCTTCACTGAGGAGGAGCTGAGGCTGCTGGACCGCGCCCAGAGGAAGTTGTACCGAGACGTGATGCTGGAGAACTTTAGGAATCTGCTCTCTGTGGGTAAGGGAATGTCTGGGTGATCGACACTTAACCTTGATTGGAGTGTTCTTGTTCCCTGGGGAGAGGGTATTTCTGGTCTTTGTATACAGGTTAAATCCCACTTTTTAAATAGAACTGTTACAAAGTAGTTTCATTTGGCCAATCTTGAATCTTTTCTCTGCCTGTCCTTCAAAGGCTTGCAAGTCATGGAATTAGGGCTACATTTTCTGATTACTTTTTGCACCTCAAAAATGCGCCTAAGCCTTGTATTTTCAGGGCAACAACCTTTCAAACCTGGTAAGATACCGTACCCTTTGGAAAAAAGGCAGAAAGACTTGGATAACAGAGAAAATCCAAGAGATGCGCACCCAGGCGAGAACTGTGGAGCCTGGAGTCCTGAGCAGGCAGGGAGGGGGTAAGCTTGTCACCTAAGGCCCCTTCCAACCCTCGATCTTACCTGAGGACACCACATACCGTTGGAGGTGATTGTTCTGTGACCTCATTTCTGCTACTCAGTTCCCACCTTCCCATGGTTCCTTCATGCTTTTCAGATGACATACCCAGAGTGACAGAGGGGGTCCCTGGACTTGTCTCCCTCTGAAAGAAACAGCCGGGCAGTGTAAGATAAGCCAGTTAACTCCTATGTCCTATTTATACCCATTGAACCCATTTAACTCCTATATCCTAGGCATCCTCAGTTATAAACAGATTTGTGTTATTTCAGCCCTTGAAGGTAAAAATCACCAATAAAGAATATCAAAAAGCATGGACAGATTTTAACTTACCTGGACCTACACAGTAAATGTGACAATTTGATGATTCGCAGTCAGTGACAGGGATACGTTGAATATTTTTATGCCTCTGTGCCTTGTGTCATGTGGATTCCTAACTGACATGCTCCCAGAAGACCGGGACACAGCTGGTGCACTTTGGAGGATTTGGTGCTTCGTTCCTCCCCCAGGTTCAGCTCACACATGCCCAGAATTAGAGTCACTGTGGGGGACAGCGCTAAGTGCGGCCCTAAAACCAGACTTCTGTGTTTGACTCCCCACCCTCCCCTTCCGCACAGCATGGCGGGGTGACTGTACCAGGTTACTCACCCTCTTTGTGCCGTGGGACCCTCATCCATAAAGTGAAAATGGTAAGGGTCCCCACCTCAATGTTATTCTGGAGGTAAAAGGAGTTAGTGGGTGTATATCGTTAGCATATAGGGAGCGTTTCAATAATGTTGAATATTATTGTTAACAACAACAGCAGTAAGTGGAGAAGTGAATTTTCTCTGCAGAAATCTGTTGGGAATTTCTTGCTCGGCAAGTAGATGATGAGATGTAGTTTGTTACTAGTAGGATCATATTCACATTTAGCTTCAAAGCTTGTTAACAGGAACCTCTTTTTTTTAGACATAAAAGAAGTGCCCTGGTAGTTACGATACACACAGGTGAATTTTGCTCTAGGCTTATTACTGGCCCGAGTCTGAAAGCATGACCTGGCTTGAGATCCCTGAGCCAGTCTTGTATTTGTTCTCATCTCTGAATTGTCTCTCACCCCATAGGAGACAAGAATGAAAAGGAAATGGAGTATATTCAAGAAAGAGATTTAAAGTGCCTTTCCTCCAGGGAGCTCTCCTACTGGAAAATCTGGGAACAGGTGACTGGTGAATTAACTGGGAGTCAGGATCATAGAGTAAATCTTCAAGGGAAAAGTTTCCAGTTCTCAGAAGACGCTTCTCCCTGCCAAGGGTGGGAAGGAGCACCTGCTCGGGGTTCACACATTGACAATCTGGTGGGCAGTCTACAGAGACCCATCGGCTCAGAAAATCAAGAGTTTCCACCCTGGAAAGCTGTAAGACCGGTGTCCGGTCAAGATTCTTGGTTGAAAGCCCTTGTGAATGAGCCGTGGAACATTCGCGAAATGTGTAAAAAACTTGACAGGCCAGATACAATATATAAACATGAGGGGGACAGTTACGACTTCAGCTGGATATCACGTTGTCACATTGACCACAGATTACCTGAAAGAGAGAGACCCTGTAATTGCTATCAGTGTGGAAAGGACCACGTTAAAAAGCCGATACTTCATCGCCCTAACAACCCCCAAGAGTATGACCGGAAAAGAAATGACTGTGGAAACGGCTTCAGGGAAGAGTCCCACCTTCCCGCTCATCCAAGAGGGCCCTCGAGAGAGAAACCCCATAAAAACGAGTTCAGTCCGGGCTTGAGGCCACCCGCCCACCTCGAGAGACCTCAAAGGACTCCTTCGGGCGAGAAAGCCTCTAAAAGTAAGGAGTGCGGCCGGGGCCCGCGGCAGAACCCGCGCGGGCCCAGCAGGCCCCGGGCCCCTGCCGCGGAGATGCCCTACAGGTGCGATGTGTGTGGGAAGGGCTTCCGGTACCAGTCGATCCTCCTCATTCACCAGGGCGTGCATACGGGCAAGAAGCCGTATGCGTGCGAGGAGTGTGGGAAGGCCTTCGGCCGCAGCTCAAACCTGCTGGTCCATCAGAGGGTCCACACCGGCGAGAAGCCGTACAAATGCGGCGAGTGTGGGAAGGGCTTCAGCTACAGCTCGGTGCTGCAGGTGCACCAGCGGCTGCACACGGGCGAGAAGCCCTACACGTGCAGCGAGTGCGGCAAGGGCTTCTACGCCAAGTCGGCGCTCCACAAGCACCAGCACGTGCACCCCGGGGAGAAGCCCTACAGCTGCGCCCAGTGCGGGAAGGGCTTCACGTGCAGCTCCCACCTCAGCAGCCACCAGAAGGCGCACGCGGGCCAGAAGCCCTACCAGTGTGACAAGTGCGACAAGGGTTTCAGCTACAACTCGTACCTCCAGGCGCACCAGCGCGTCCACACGGGGCAGCGGCTCTTCGAATGCGACGTGTGCGGCAAGAGTTTCAGTTACAGCTCGGGGCTCCTCAGGCACCAAAGGCTGCACACGGGCGAGAAGCCCTACAAGTGCGAGTGCGGGAAGGGCTTCGGCCGCAGCTCGGACCTGCACGTCCACCAGAGGGTCCACACCGGCGAGAAGCCCTATAAGTGCGTTGAGTGCGGGAAGGGCTTCCGGCGGAATTCAGACCTGCATAGTCACCAGAGGGTCCACACGGGCGAGCGGCCCTTCGTGTGCGACGTGTGTGGGAAGGGCTTCATTTACAGCTCCGACCTCCTCATCCATCAGAGGACGCACACAGGCGAGAAGCCCTACAAATGTGCCGAGTGCGGCAAAGGCTTCAGTTACAGCTCGGGGCTCCTCATCCACCAGAGGGTGCACACTGGCGAGAAACCTTACAAATGCGAAGAGTGCGGTAAGGGCTTCCGGTGCACCTCAAGTCTCTACAAGCACCAGCGCATCCACACGGGCAAGAAGCCCTACACGTGTGATCAGTGCGGCAAGGGCTTCAGTTACGGCTCCAATCTCCGCACCCACCAGAGGCTGCACACGGGCGAGAAGCCCTACACGTGTTACGAGTGCGGCAAGGGCTTCAGATACGGCTCGGGGCTCCTCAGTCACAAGAGGGTGCACACCGGGGAGAAGCCTTATAGATGCGACGTGTGCGGGAAGGGCTACAGTCAGAGCTCACACCTTCAGGGTCATCAGAGGGTGCACACGGGCGAGAAGCCCTACAAATGCGAGGAGTGTGGGAAGGGCTTTGGCCGAAGCTCCTGTCTTCACGTCCACCAGAGGGTCCACACGGGCGAGAAGCCCTACAAATGCGAGGAGTGTGGGAAGGGCTTTGGCCGAAGCTCCTGTCTTCACGTCCACCAGAGGGTCCACACGGGCGAGAAGCCCTACACGTGCGGGGAGTGCGGGAAGGGCTTCAGCTACAGCTCGGGCCTGCGGAATCATCAGCGGGTGCACGGGAGTGAGAAACCTGACAAGTAGGCGAGCGTTCGGATGGCACCCCGAACTTTCTACTCACCCGAGCGCCAGTGCGGGAGGAAGCCTTTGGGAACGTGCTGTGTAGGGTCGGCTGCTGGGGGAGGCTGACCTGGTCACGCGGCCCTTTCTGCAGAGGAAGGAAAGACCCGGAAGTTCGAGAAACGGGAAGAGCGCTTGAGTCGCAGGCTTCCTCGTCTCCGAGAGTATGTCGCCCGGCGGACTGTCCTTAAGGAAGTAGGACGGGGCCTCAGTAAAGATCGTCACTCTCCTCAGAGTCGGCCCAGGAGGGAGCTCTTGTAAATGATAGGAGCAGGTTGTGGACATGGATTCCTTGGTGGGGGTGGGGGTGGGTGGAAAATACCTACAGATGGGACAAATGTAGGAAAGAATGGCCACCTTGCTAAAACCAATATTATGTGTACCTTTTAGAAGATCGATTTTACAAAAATTGAAAGATGATGTTACTGTGGGTTGAGGCCAGTCGCTTTTAGAAGAGCAGGAACAGTTAGAGGGAGGGTCCCCCTCTTGGCAGGTGTGGATGATGTGTCTGCACATACCCCTTTTTATGTCACGTTGTGGTGAATGTGTTTCATCTCCTAGAGATAAACTGCTCTCCTAGAGAGGTCGTACTGGACTGCGGAGCCATTTCATTTTATTAGGTTTGTTCTGTTTTGTTTTGAAGTAGGCTCCATATGGGCCCAGCACAGAGCCCAGTGTGGGGCTTGAACTCACAACCCCGAAATCAAGACCTGAGACGAGATAAGAGTCGGACGCTTAACCGACTGAGCCACCCAGGCACCCCTCATTTTACCAGGTGTTAAACACAAAAGCCAATTGGCATTGCATTGAATTTATAGGTTAATTTGTTTTATTGCTATCATGAATATAATGCTTCTGCCCCGTTTCATTTCATGTTTTTAAACAGACAACTATTAGAGCATTTTAAAGAATCAGAAATACCATTTTAACTTGTCAGAATAGCCGTGGAAAAATAGAGTCACCAAAACCACCATCAGTGGGGATCTGTGGAAACCTGCACCTGTGAGTTTATTGGTGGGGGGTGAAAAAAAGTAGTCTTTTGGGAAAGAATTTGTCAGTGTATCAAGTTCAGATTCGTGTAACCTTTGAAGTGGCAATAAGTGTGTAGTAATTGATACTTGGGAGGTAGTTGCACATATGGAAAAAGATGTATGCATATGACTGAGTTTCTTAGCATTTTCTTACCATAGCAAAATAAAAAAAAATATTAATACTCCAAGTGTAATAAATTAAGGCACATGTAAATGAGTGAAAACCACTAAAAATATTCAGGTACACCTACATAGACATTGAAGGTTGCCCACAAACCATTTTGTGAACCAAGAAAGTTGGAGAGCCATTTTAGTATAGCCCCGTTTTGTTAATATGCTTTTTGCGTGTGTATGTTTATATAGAGAGAAAGACACAAAAATGTGTGAAAGGTCAGTATGATAACTGCTTATCTCTAGTAAGTGGGATGCGGGGTGTGTAATACATTTGTGTACTTGTATGTATTTAACTTTTTAACACAGTATATATATATCAATTTTATAACAATAGTAAAGCTATTTTTTAAAAAAAATTAGTCTGGTGGAACAGTGCCTTATGGTCAAAGATCCATGTCACAACTTCTATACTTCTGTTGTTGTTGCTTTTTCTACTGTTTACTTAGCACCTAGTACCAAATACAAGGTATACAAATGAACTGAGAAATTTGTGAATTAGATGCTGCATAATTTTTGTTGGCTTGGTCAGAAACGAGGGTGGTCTGGGTAATTGGGAGGAGCTTGGGTGCTCCACTCTGCATTCTGGCCCTCTGGGACCAGTGAGCCCCCGCAAGCCTGGCTTCCTAGAAGGCAGCGCACCAGGATATGTCCCCTCTAGTCTGACTTCCTTTCCTGGGGCCATGTCTGGGGGTCAGAAGCAAAGTGTCCATAGCTGAAATGGTTAGCTTTCTGAAGGGGATTGGAAAAAAATCTCAAGTTTTTTTTTTTTTTTTTTTAGGATTTTATTTATTTATTCATGAGAGACAGAGGGGGAGAGAGAGAGAGAGAGAGAAGCAGAGGGAGAAGCAGGCTCCCAAGGAGCAGGGAGCCCGATGTGTTTTGTAGAATAGCAGCTGCATCATTCTAGTCATGGGGTGGGTTTTATAGCCAAAGAACACATGGAGACACCGTCCCTGCCCCTCAGACCCTCAAGGTTTGTGGTTGATATGTTAAGCTCTCTAAATGGATTTCCAAAGGAGGACTGCAAATTTTTTTTTCTGTAGTTTTATTTTACGCATTTTTTAAAAGCTCCAAAATTTTAATTTTTAATTTTTTAATTTTTTTTTTTTAGTTCAGGGGTAGAATTTAATGATTCATCAGTGGCATATGAAACCCAGTGCCCTCCTTAATGCCCATCACCCAGTTACCCCATCCCCCCCTCCCCTCCAGCAACCCTGTTTGTTTCCTAGAGTTAAGAGTCTCTTAGGGTTTGCCTCCCTCTCTGTTTTTATGAAATCTTACCATTTGCAGTGATGTGGATGGAACTAGAGGGTACTACGCCAAGAGAAATAAGTCCGAGAAAGACAAATACTGTATGATTTCACTAATATGGGGAATTTAAGAAACAAAAGAGATGAACATAGGGGAAGGGAAGGAAAAATAAGATAAAAACAGGGAGGACCACAGGTTCTTAAATTGGTCTGGGCAGTGTCTCCCCAGTGTCCTGGAAGTAGCTGTCACTTGTTGGCTGCAGCTAGTCATCTGAATGCTTGACCAGCGCTTGATCTGCTTCCAGGATGGCTTTGAGCATCATAGAGCTTTGAACAGGAGGCCTCAGTTCCTCAGTGGATGTTGGAAAAGGCCTGAGTTCCTCAACATGTGGGCTTCTCTACAGGACTACCCGAGGGCCTTTATGACACGGCAGCTGCCTTCCCTCAGAGCAAGTGGCCAGAGAGGAGAGCGCAAGCAGGAAGCCACAGGGCCTTCTGTGACCCAGTCTCTGAAATGACCATCCCTTCTGCTTTCTCCTCTTCCTTAGGAATCACTGAGTTTCTGGGGAGGGGCATTAGGTTCCACCTCTTGCAAGGAGTGCAAGGAGAACTTGTGGATGGATCTACAAAAAACCACCATACCTACTAACAGCATGGGAGAGTGATTCGGTTCAGTCCTTTCTACCTGCTAGAGGCCATCCTCGAGATCCCACTGGGTTGCCTAAAGTTTACCCAGGTGCCAGTCGGCTGCTGCTATGTTTGTGGCAGCAGGGATACAAGAGCGTCAAGGGAGTGCTGTAACCACTATGGATTGGTTGGAGTCAGGCGTGGAAGTGCGGTGCTTTCTCTGCAAAATCAGGAACAATGAAGTAAGATGTCACCCTCTGTTGTTATTCTCTGCATTCTCTGAATGTTACATGGTAGGAAGGTTAATACAAGTTTCAGGGCCTCTGGAGAGTTGTAAAAACACCATCTGCTGGGCAGAGTCAGAAACTGGTAGTCTCTAAATGATGATGAACAAGCTGGCTCTAGCTGAAGTGGGTTGGTAGGGGCGATAAGTCTGGTATAGAATATAAAGTTGATTGTGACAGTAACGTTGCACCCTACCAACAGGGTGATGTGATCATTTTAGAAGGTAGAGTCAGAGACTTTAGATATGCTTCCTTTAAAAAAAAATTTTTTTTTAGAGATTTTATTTATTTGAGAGAGACAGAAATAGCGAGAGAGAGCATGAGTGGGGAGGAGAGGGAGAAGCAGGCTCCCTGCTGAGCAGGAAGCCCAACGTGGGGCTCGATCCCAGGACCCTGAGATCATGACCAGAGCCGAAAGCAGACACTTAACCGACTGAGCCACCCAGGCGTCCCAAGATACCTATTTCCAAGTAGATTTTGTGGGTCCAGACAAGTTGTAACTGTTCCTCAGAACAGTCCTCAGCCTGAATATAAATATCTCAGGTATAAAACCCAACCCAGTGTTACTCCATCATGAGATGGAGAATGAAGTACGGCAACTAAGTGAGATAGTCTACTAGCCCACTAGGATGAGGTGATATGATGGTAGGTCAGAAATTAAATTTGGTTTATTCTCACTTGGGAGATCTCCTGCATCCAGATGTGTCCCTCAGAGCACTGGAAACACCTAAGCCTGTCATTGCCTTGGACCCCAGGGTCACAGTGTAACATTGTATTCTGTAATTTGGCCATCAGGAGTACATGCGGATCATATTCAACCCCTTGAATTTTTACTTCTGACTGACATTTGGTTAATCAGTAGATACTATGTGTCAGGCACTATGTGTCTCAGCACTGGGGATACAACTGTTAAGGTGGTTGGACCAGAATGGGCAAGCGAGAAAGTAGTAGAAAATGAGGTCAAAAAGGAGAAACGAAAAGGAAATGAACTCAGATGTGGAGAATTGACGTATTTATCACAGATATTACTGAGGCATGTTAAAGGAAACCTCTTCCTCCATCCAGTAGTTTTAGGATCTCCCAAATTTAAGGGTCACTCCCGCCCGCCTCTGTGGCAGATCTTACTAGATTTTTT